TGGGGAGGGGCAGAGAGAGAAGGAGACACAGAATCCGAAGCAGGCTCCAGGCTCTGAGCCGTCAGCACAGAGCCCAGTGCGGGGCTCGAACTCACAAACCGTGAGATCAGGACCTGAGCCGAAGTCGGACGCTTAACCGACGGAGCCACCCAGGCGCCCCTGTTCTTTTTTTTTAATTGCATTAATATTCTGTTTTGTAGATGCACTACTTAGTAGGTAATCAAGTCCTTCAAGATGGAATTGTAGGTTGTTCTCACTATTCTCCCATTTCGAGCAGGGCTGCAGTGTATAAGCTACAAATAAACACATTCTTTCAAATGTATTGAGACATATCTGCAGAATGAAATCCTGGAAGAATTGCAGAGTAAATACAGTTTTGTAATTGGTGCCACCGAACGGCCCTCCACCCCTCCACAGAGGCTACAACAATCTACTCTCCCAGCAGTGCCTGTTTCCCACACCTTGGCCATCACTCTGTGCAGTCAAACTGGCAGAGTCTTGCCAACCTGACAGGTGAAAATGGAATTGGGGCAGTTTTAATTTGCACTTCTTTTATTACGAGAGGCCTGCTTACCTTTTCATATGTTTAAAAGTTATTTGTATTGCCTCTTACAGGAGATATTTGTTCATATCCCTTATCTGTTTCATGGAGTTGTGGCTGTTTTTTCCTGATTGGTTTATATGAGTTCTTTGTATATTAAGGAAACTGGCCCTTAACTGCAATGTAAGTTAAAAAATATTTCCCCCCACGCCTGGGTGGCTCCGTCGGTTAAGCGTCTGACTTCGGCTCAGGTCATGATCTCCTGGCTCGAGGGTTCGAGCCCCATGTCGGGCTCTGTGCTGACATCTCGCAGCCTGGAGCCTGCTTCGGATTCTGTGTCTCCCTCTCTCTGCTCCTCCCTTGCTCTCTCTCAAAAATAAGTAAACATTAAAAAAAAATTTTTTTTACTTCCCCCCAACTGTCATCTGTATCTTCACTTTGCTTATAGTGATTTTTGCCTTACAGGAGTTTTTTGTTAATGTCATCAAATAGATCTTAGTTTTCCCTCTTTATGGCTTCTAGGTTTTGTTCACTCAGGCAACTCTTTTTCATTTTTTTTCAATCCTTTTTTAAAATTAAGTTTAAATTAAGTGTAAATTAAGTTTATTTTGAGAGAGAGAGCGTGTGCACATGGGAGGACAGAGAGAGGGAGAGAGAGAATCTCAAGCAGGCTCTGAGCTGTCAGTATGGAGCCTGACGTGGGGCTCGATCCCACAAAACACGAGCTTGTGACCTGAGCAGAAATCTGATGCTTCACTGACTGAGTCACCCAGGAGGCCCAGCCAACCCTTTTTGACAGCATGTCAGGATACTCCCCCCAGGGGCCAGCAATACTAAACATAATTTTTAGTCAAGTGTTAGGGATCAAAATATTCAGAACTTGGTGGGCCCAGGGCTCATAGTGGCTGAGGCCTGGCTGTGAGGGAGAACAGCCTCTCATCCCCAGCCATCCTTCCCACCGCAAATAGAAAAAGTGACAATATTAAGGAAAACACTAAGTTAGCTCTCTCTGACATAAAGCCCTCACTATTTTTCCAGGAGTAGTACTCAAAGACAACAATGCCCTCTGGGGGCTTCCAGAATTTCAAATGCTCTCTTTTTGATTGAACTTCACATTACCTGACTGGAGGCTGAATGATGAACTCGGTATTTGAGGAAGAAGTTCACCAGTTTGTACAAGTCGTCCTCACTTTCAATCCCAAGGGCCTGGGGGAAAACAGGAGGATGGCTCAAACACCAGAGCAAGAAGGCCCCCGGCTGCTGCGGGAGTTCAGAGACCCTCAGCTCCTAAGAGCGGGAGGCTTGTCTTGTTCCCCTGAACATCCCCAGCACCCGCCATGGCCCAGAGTAAGGCCATTCAACACTGGGGAAGCACAGCGAGACCACGGCAGAACAGAGCAACGTTGCTCAGAGTCAGGAACAGCCCGATACAGGCCTGGTGGGTATAAGAATGCTAAAGGAGGCTGAACACACATCCGACTTTAAGGGTGTAGGGGAGAACCCACAGTCTGAGAGCTGGGTCGTGAGGAAGAGAAGCTGGTAGAGGAAGCGCCCGGGGTGGGAGACATCTAAACTCCATGGCCAATTTGTCGCATGGAGAATAAGGAAAGGGAAAGATGTGCCAGCCCAGGGAAGCCCCGGAAGACCCATATCTACTCCCAGGACTGAGGAAATGTTGCAAAAAACATAGGGGGCTGTCTTGGAATGAGGTCCCCGCCACCCGCCATCAACTCAGCCCAGTGGGACTCACTGAGAAGATGGCGTCCAACTTGAGCAGATAGCACTCGCTCTTCTCCAGGGGACGGAGAAGGCTCAGCAGCTTGCTCTCTATGAGGAAACCCTGAGAGGGAAGAGGGTATCTCCAGTCAGACACAGGTTTCGGAAACCAGTGCTCGGGTGTGCAGCCTACCTCTGTGTGACGAGCCAGCGGTGACTCCACAGAGCAGGACCTCAGGGATGAGACTGGGGCAGCAGGGGCCCCAGAGGAAGGCCTTCCTAGGATGCCTAAGGGGCCCTTCCCAGGGGCAAACTCAACGCTCACCATGGATTTACTGGGGGCGGCGCCCCCCCCCCTAGGAAAGGGTGCTGCCTCATCTCACCCACAAGCCACTGGGCAAACACCTGAGTTCTCCACAGCCACCCAGACCTCATCGAGTCACAGATTCTCACCCGTCCAATGTCACTGCACTCCTGTGCTAGCCCTCAGATATCTACAGGATGGGGCGGAAGGCACAGAGCTGGAGGAGGGGAAGGCACGGAGGCAGATGAACACGCCGTGTCACAACACGGTACGCACAAAGTTGGGAGTGAGTGGGAAGACTGGGGGCCCGGCACCCACTCTGAGCTGGGAACGCCTGGGGGAGGGCCCCTGGCAGAGGGGGCCACCGGCACAAGCCTGCAAATAGAGAGAGGAGTACCTGCCTGCCGTCCCGTTCAGCGGGAGCCCCCTCAGCGGCAAGAGTCGGCTCTTGGCCAAAGACAACTGTCCCAAGGGGACGGGAGGCCGGCAGGCCTTGCATCTCCTTTAATCTCCGCTCAGAACTGCAGGACCTAAACGCACACCGGTCACGTCCCGTGATGCCGCCCCCCGTCCCCCCCAAGCTGAGCCAGCCCAGCACACCCTTCACACTAAATCTGGTGGGTTTGCTAACACACAGAGCAGGTGGCCAAAGCCTGACACACCCAGAGTCATCACAGACTGAGCTCCCAGACAAAGGCCACATCAGTTGTGGCCACACTACTTGGCAGGTGGGTTCACAGACGGGAGGCTGGCGCCCCTTCTCTTGTAGAATGAGCTTTTTTTTTTTTTATCAGCAAGGTGCCTGTGGACCGACCTGGCCCACACCTGGCCGCCCCACTAAGGGAGGAACCACTTGGCAGCTGGGGCAGCTCTGAAGCATGGCCTCTCGGGGTAAACGACCCCAGCTCTGCTCCCGAATGCCTGTGCACCCCTGCCTCCGGGCCACGTCCGGCCAGGCCAGGGTCGTCAGAAGCAGCACACGAGAAGCAAGGGCAGAAGGTCAGCAAAGCCACCGGCCGGGAGTCCCTGTGGCGCAGCCCCGTGCAGCCGGCCTCACCGACTCGTCACACAGGAGCATCAGGATCTTTCTGGTCGTTTTCATGGAAACTTGCTTTGGCAGGTCGAGGTAAGACTCTGTTTCTGAGGTGGCCTCCTCCATCCCCTCCTCTTCTGCAGGCGGGGCAGAGAGAAGAGAGGGTGGGAGAGAAAAAGAAGATAACTGCTTGGCCTTGTGGACTTTGAGAAACAGCCGAACGTCCTTCCTTGAGAAAATTTACCTCTTAGGGGCGCCTGGGTGGCGCAGTCGGTTAAGCGTCCGACTTCCGCCAGGTCACGATCTCGCGGTCCGTGAGTTCGAGCCCCACGTCAGGCTCTGGGCTGATGGCTCAGAGCCTGGAGCCTGTTTCTGATTCTGTGTCTCCCTCTCTCTCTGCCCCTCCCCCGTTCATGCTCTCTCTCTGTCCCAAAAATAAATAAACGTTGAAAAAAAAAAAAAAAGTAAAAAAAAAAAAAAAAAAAAGAAAATTTACCTCTTAAAAAGCCGAAGGAAGCCTGGTGTGTGGGGAAAAACAGGAAGGCTGGGGATTGGAATAAGAGACTAGCCGGAGAATTCTGCCATTCTATAACCCTTCACTTTCCTAAGTTTCATCGACCTGGAAACATCATACTCAAAACCTGGCCGTGACCAGGGAGTGGAAGGGAGAGGATGAACCTATTTATAGGTTTTACTAGTTTGCTCAAAAGATAAAATGAGATAAGATAAATGAAAATATTTTGAAAAGTACAAGATGCCAACTTGCTGGTGGAACTACAAAATGGCGCCATCCATATGGAACAACACCCAGTAACGTCACAGAGGCATTTGCCCTTTGATCCAGCAGTCCTGCTTTTAAGGGGCTAGCCCAACAATTCATCAGGAAACACATGCAAACACAAACGCACACAGATATTTATCGCTGCATTGTTCACAACAGCACAAACAAGCAGACAAAAACCTGGCAATATCCCAAGTGGCCACCAACAGAACACTATTGGGATAAGTCATAGCACAGCCACACGACACCATACCAAATAAAAATGGAGGAAAGAATGTTTCTTCTCACTACCATAAACTGATCTTCTCCAAGATATTTTGTAAGTGAGAAAAGCAAGACGGAGAAAAGCGTCATTTAAAAAGTGGGTCTACGTGGGGCGCCTGGGTGGCTCAGTCGGTGGAGCGTCCGACTTCGGCTCAGGCCATGAATCTCATGGTTCGTGGGTTCAAGTCCCACGTTGGGCTCTGTGCTGACAGCTTGGAGACTGGAGCCTGCTTCGGATTCTGTCTCCCTCTCTCCTGCCCCTCCCCCACTCACACTCTGTCTCTCAAAAATAAATAAATGTTAAAAAAAATTTTTTTAAAGTGGGTCTACATGAATATAAACAAATATATATATATACATACATACATACATATACATATTTGTTTTAAAAAGCAATGGGAAGAGAAACCATGCATTTTTAGATAACTACCTATAGGAGAGGGATAAAATAGAAGAGAGAGGATAAAACTTCTTTGAGTATACCTTGTTCTGTACATTTGACTTTGGAAACATGTCAGTATTCTACATAACTATAAAACAAAATTAAGTTGTAAAAAGCAATCCCTAATTATCAAAAGTAAAACAAAACAAAAGGACCTAAATATGTATTCAGATGGTGACCTAACCAAATAGAAACTATTCGAAGTGACTTCAAGAGACAGCCATCTGTGGGGCACCTGGGTGTGCCAGAGGGACCCGCAAGCCAACACAAAGAGACTCCCACTGGCCGAAAATGGGACAATTTGGGCACCAGTAAGGGAAACTAAGTGCAATAAACCAAAACACATCAGATGTGTTTAAATCCAATCTGTTCGTAATGATACTCGCTTTAGAAAATGCCATTGGTCACTCTTGGAAGATGCTAGAGACCCAACCCATTTATTCTGAAAGCTACTAAATAGAGAAAGGACAAGCATCTATTCTGCTTTTCCTGTATGAACTGTACCTCGGGGTAGCAAATAGCTGATGAGGAGAAGAGTCTCTTTTCAGAAGTATTCCAGCTAATAAATGAAGGCATCTGATAGAATTTAGAGTGTCACCGTTTTGCAACCCCTAAGGCCATTAATGGATCTTAGACAAGGACTCCCAATGGTTGCTAGCCTCGCAAAGAGACACCCTGATGTTAGTTTATCCCAATGGAAGCATGCCACAGTGTACTTAGCAAAACTACACTGACCCTGAACCTGATCAAGCTTCTAGATAGAACTACCAGATTATAATGGAGGGAAGAGGGTAAAGCTATAGGTTAAATTAGAGACTCTGGACCTCCCAGCTACGAGACCTCTTCTCCCCCTTCTCTGGCCTTCAGTTGGCTTGTCTGTGAGATGAATGTGTTGACCCTACAGTTTTACGGGCCCCCCAGCTCCAGGACTCCATTCCAGATACCTGTTTGAATCAGCACTTCTTCTAATATCTGTGTAGCAGACCTCTGCTGCTGCTGAGATATAGGTCCCACATTCCTCAGGAACCAGAAATCAGGTGCGGTCCAGGGGAGCCCCAGATGCTGGGTGTGGATGATCCTGTCCACATCAAAGGCTTTGCTTATCAGATCCTTTGCCTCTTCTTCATTCATCAGCCAAATCTCTCGAAACCGCTTGTCCTCAAGAAGAGCAAAATGCCTGTGAAGGAGAGTTACTCAGCGGACCCCGGGGCCTGGCCAGGGTGCCCTCCATTAGCAGTAGGGCGAGAGCTGGGGCAGCGCCGGGGTGCAACCCGGGCCCAGGGCCGCCGGGCCTCACCCATGATAGCCTGGAGGCCATCCCCACAAGTCTCAAGAGAAGGCGGGTGACAAGCCAGTACAGGGGGCAGAGAAGACAGCCCGCTAAGACTCTTAGTGCCTGGGCCCACCTCTGTTCTAGGGCACGTGCCGTGGGAGCCAGGTCCCCAAGATACCTCATGGCTTTCTGTAGCTCCTTGAACTGCGTCACAAGGCGTATGTAGTCGGAGGTTAGTGACTGGTTCTCCTCCTCAAACTGTCTGATCTGCCTGGCGTATTTTGATCTCAGGTTGTTAAGTATATCATGCAGGCTGGGAGGAAGGGGAGAGAAGTTCATCTGTAGCTGAACAGAAGCCGTGACGTACGTTCCCCTCAGCTGCTTCACACGGTTCTACAGAACCCAGGGTCAGGTTAGCGGAAGCGCCGAAGATCCTCCCATTTGTTCCAAAACCCAGCTGCCCTGATTGCGATCAAAGAAAGGAAGGCAGCAGGAGGTGAGGGGATTGTCCAGAACTAAACTCATTTAGAACAGTCCAGAAGCCCAGACCCACTGAGGGGCAGTCTCCTGCTCAGGAGTGTGACTGAATCCTTCACAACACGCCATCTGGGAGTGTGTCCACATCCTCAACTTCACAGTATTTAACAAGCGTATCTCAACTATTTCACTGCCATGATTTGGATGTTCATTTCACTTCTAAAACAAGAAAACTAGAAAGGAAAAAAATTAAAACCTCACGGCACAAGTCTATGATATATGAGTTCTCCATCCTCAAAAAGCTGACGCAGGTCACAAGCCCAATAACTCATTCATTCATTCATTCACTTGAAAGGTCTCTCGCACGCCAAGGATCTGTTTGAATCCAAAAGATGAATACAAGGCATATGTTTGGACAAAAGGCACTATCGGTTCAGCCAGAAACAAAGAAAAACAAACACTCGTCGCAGTGGAGTGAAAGCACCGTGGGGGTGGTTTACACAGGATGCCAGGGGAGCCCAGAGGTGAGGCAGGGAACTTATCCCAGCCTGGAGGCAAGGGGAGTGGTTGAAGGTTCCAGCACGGAGAGAGACAGTGACAGCCTGGTCAAGGGCACTGGGAGTCCGGGCATGCCACGGGTCCACATCTCACTGCTCTGGGAGCTCTGTGCGTGGAGCCTCGCCTCATGAAATATGCGTGGCAGGCATGGCTTTTAGACCCAGGACCATACTTCAGACTTTAGACCAGTGCACAGGTGTCTTATGTCAGCGTCCCATTTACACGGGCATAGAGAGTCTGAAGGCCTACATGTTTTCAGTTTAAAAATTCTAAAAATAAGGTTTTCTCTCTTAAGCACCATTCTGAAAGAATCATAAGCTCCCTAAACACACAAACACCCATCCTTCATGTTTTTATCCTTAATAAAATGCAAAAACAACTTAACTTGGACTCTGATAAAAAGCAGCATGTAGGGGCGCCTGGGTGGCTCAGTTGGTTGAGCCTCCGACCTCGGCTCGTCATGATCTCGAGGTTTGTGGGTTCGAGCCCCATGTCGGGCTCCATGCTGACAGCTCAGAGCCTGGAGCCTTCTTCAAATTCTGTGTCTCCCTCTCTCCCTGCCCCTCCCCTGCTCGGGCTCTGTCTCTCAAAAATAAATAAACATTAAAAAAAAATTTTTTTAAGCAATATCTAGTTCATTTTCTTAACTATGGCATTCTAGGAGACGATCCACATATAGGTGTCAAAAAAAAATGTTTTTAGGTAGCCATCCCAAAGTCTTTTTCCCAGTGTCACCCTGTAAAGGAGCGCCTATGTGTCAGCTAACCACAGAAGCTAATAAAACCAAAACATAACTCCAGGTGCATGCTGCAGGTCTGGGCAGGACAGGGGACAGACAGGAACAGGTGGCCGCAAGGGGGAAGGATCTCAAGAACATCACACACCGTCCTTAGTGACTGGCTGGCAGCTAGAGATGGAGGGGGCAGGGGTGGAGGAGGGGGAAGCCACGAAGGTAGGCAAACTTGGTTTCAAAACTTGTCCACTGGCCTTGACAGCAACTGTCCAAGCTGCAATGTCTCCTGGAAGTCCCAGACAAAGCGAGGAGGTGGGGCCGGGACTGGGGAGATGAGCTGGAGTCATCGAGAAAGAAGTCCTACTCAAAGCCATGAGACTAGTGTAGAGGGTGGACGGGATACAACCAGAAAGCAAAAAGGGGGAGATGCTTTCTGGAATATCCTATCAGGCAAGAAAACGCAGAACCACCAAAGGAAGCCAATTAGGAATCCGCTGAGAAAGAAGAGTAGGTATTTTAGAGTCATAAAAGCCAAAGCAGAAAAATTCGGAGATTCGGTACCAACAACAATCGGATGAGGCCTGACCGGGCAGCAGCAGGGTCTGCTGATAAGGGAGACGCCAGCTCAAAGTCAGAGGACAGAGCCAGGGAAGGGAGGGTGGGGATGATGCCACTCGTCCTTCTGCCCTGCGGATCAAAACCAAGGTTTGCCTCACGTACCTCGGCCCACCTGCCGTCCTACCAACCTCCCCTCTCCCAGGATGCAGGCTCTTCCTGCCTCCTGCTTCCTTGCCTTCGGATCTTCATTCCTGGCTCTCACACCGCCAACCCCAGAGGCTTAACTCCTCTTTCCCAGTTCGCATCCCTCCCCCCTTCCCTGTTTCACTTCTTCTGGAATCCTTCCCAGGGAACTCCTTCTCACTGACTGTACAGAAGTGTGGCCATCACAGATGGATGGAGAGAGGGCGAGAGAGGGCGAGGGAGAGGAGAGATACAGAAAGATACACACTACACACTTAATCCCTGGTGGTAGGAACACGGCGTTTTTTACGTTTTATCTTCCTTTCACTTGGGGTACTTCCTAACTCTCTAAAATGCACATGTACCACTTCTGTAATAACAAGTTGAGAATGTATTCTACAGACAGCTCTGTGCGTATGCAACATAAGACAGCGACACGAGTACCTACGTCGGTATTATTTGCGATAGCGAAGGATTAGAAGCAATCTAAACGTCCATCCACGGGGACATTAAGTCACAGTATATGCAAGTGGAGGTTAGGCAACCTAAGAAATAACGTGAAAACTCTTTACGAATCGGTATGGAAACACCGTCGGGATATAAAACGGCGTGTACGGTAGGCTATCATTTGGCTTAAAAACGGGGGGGGGGGGGTGGTGAGAGGATTTGTGCTGGTATGTGGTTCAAGAAATTCTGGAAGAAACAAAAGAAATGAATAACAATTACAGAGGTGGGAAAGAGGGACCACACAAAATGGGGGATCAGAGACAGACTTGCTGCACATTCTTTCCGGAGGGTCGGGGGGGAGGCCGCTGAAAGTATTACCTTTTGCAAAAAGAACTCTTTTAATGAAGAATTAGCTAAGTTTTTAACAGCTTCCACTCCTCCGGAAGGGAAGGCCTCATCCCCAACCCCGTTTTCAGTATAGAAGGGTCCATGGTCTGCGGGCTAGCTCACCGACTGATCTTCCTCTTCTGCTGGGATTTGATCACCACACTCTCTTCGTCTCTCTTCTTCAGCACTTGGAAGTTGTACTCCAACTTCTCTTGGTTTAGCTGGTAGGTTGCTTTCATCTGCTGAAGCTGTTGCTCAAGAATCTAAAGGTTAAAAAACAATAATAATATGGACTGGCCCTGGTATCATTTGCCATGCCCGGGGGTCCCTGATACTTGATTCTGGAGTCATGTCAGATGACACAGAGGCACAGGTGTCTCCACCTGATTTCTTAGAAAATCTGTCAGTAGAGGCAAATGAAAGGCCAGCCAGAAAAAAATACATCATTCGGCTGCGAGCTCAAGCCTATGTCCCTAAAGCCTAAGAGAGGGGACAGACCCTTCAAGCATGGCCCCCTCCGTTGCTCTGCACCAGAGCCTCTGGAGATACATGGCGCCCCACTGAAAACACCATACAATATTTCCACAGACTCTTGCAACGTCCCACTCGGACCTTCCATTGGCAGTGTTAGTGTTTAGCAAATGGTGTTCATTTTAAAGGAGGACAGACACAACCATTCCTTCTTTCTGGATTTCTGTTAGCTATGTTCATTCATTCAGCAAATATTTCAGTGCCTGATAAATGTCGACACTTCTCCAGGTGCTGCTGAGGAAACGCTGGTGGAAAAGGCACAGCCTAGCCCTCGCTAGGAGATATTAACAAGCGGTGGGGACAAGAAGTAAGAGGTGGGGTAGGCGCAGGGCGGCATGCGACTCTCTGTGGCCTCGAAGGCCAGGCAGGCATCCCTGAACAGTTGGCATGAGCGTGTCTAACCGAGACCCAGAAAACGAGCAGGAGTGATTCAGGTGGCTACTCGAAGGGACACTTACTCCAGAGAGGCAGGGGGAGTGAGGTGCTTTGGGGAAATCACGAGCAAAGTAGGGTGTGAGGTACGAGGCTGGGAACGGTCAGAAAAGAGGCTGACAGAGCAGCAGGGCCCTATCAAGTGAGGACTTAAAGCTTTATCCTGAGAACCATGGAGGGCCACGAAAGATCTCAAGCAGGAAAGGGCAGTGACCAGTCCGGGCAGTATAGAAAGATCACTTTGACAGTTGGTTAAAAACAAAAACAAAACCAAACAAACAAAAACTGCTGAGAGCAGGGCAAGGCTAGAGGCAGGGCAAAACCAGGCAAGCTCGGTCCTGCCTCTCCAAGTGGAAATGCAGGAACAGAGGGTGCAATTAAGCGTAATCAGATCTTGGCAAAGCAGGGACATGTGACATGTGGCGCTCTTTCAAGCCTCCTTCTCCCTCATCTGCCTCCACAGGGCTACAGAGCCTTGCCAAGGAATCAACATAGCAAGTGATTGGAGCGCCTGGGTGGTTCAGTCAGTTAAGCATCTCACTCGTGATTTCGGCTCAGGTCATGATCTCACGGTTGTGAGATGGACCCCCACGTCGGGCTTTGCACTGAGCGCGGAGCCTGCTTGGGACTCTCTCTCTCCCTCTCTCTTTGCTCCTTCCCTGCTTGCCCTCTCTGCCTCTCTAAATAAATAACGTTTTAAAAAAACACATAGGAGTGGTTCCAGGCAGCTCCCCCTAGACCCCTGGGTCATCCTCAAGGAAAGTAACTGGCTAGGAGGTGATGCAGAGAACAAAAGCACTGACACTGATCCCCTATTGTAAACGAGAGAATGAATCCAGGGTATCCAAATATCTACCTAGCCCAGGGAGTTCTAAATCTCCGTTATGGGGCAGGCATTTGGATGTCTTTTCAGAACAGAAGCCTGCGATACCTATCACAGGTGGCCAATGAGCATACAGGTCGCCGGGATTATAACTAACTGTACCTCTCAATTTCCATACTGGCTTAGTCAACTTTTTAGTTACTTTCTTCTAATTATACGCTTTTCTGTATAAAAAGTTTTCCTGCTTGTGAAAGTAATATTTGCTCGTTGTAGAAAATGTGGAAAGTACAGTAAAGGAGAAAGAAGGAGAAGACACAGAAGGGGAAGAAAAATTACCCAAATTCCATCTCAAAGAGGCATCTTCTGTTAACATATCGGCATGTTTCTTTCCAGTGTTCTTTTTTTTTTTATTTAAAAAAAATTTTTTTTTTCAACGTTTATTTATTTTTTTGGGGACAGAGAGAGACAGAGCATGAACGGGGGAGGGGCAGAGAGAGAGGGAGACACAGAATCGGAAACAGCCTCCAGGCTCTGAGCCATCAGCCCAGAGCCTGACGCAGGGCTCGAACTCACGGACCTCGAGATCGTGACCTGGCTGAAGTCGGACGCTCAACCGACTGCGCCACCCAGGAGCCCCTCCAGTGTTCTTTACATAGCTGAGATGAAACCATAGCTACAATTTTATATGCTATTTTTCTCCCTTAATATTGTAACGAGAATTTTCCATGTTAGTTTTGGCGATGTTATTTTAATGGTGCGTAATATTTTTATATACTATAGTATATTTTTATATAATATTTTATATACTATATATATACAATTTATCATATATAAAATACTTGCAATATTTACCATATGCCATACTGTTTTACCATTTCCCTACTGTTGTACATTTACATTGTTTTGATAATTCTTGATATTATAAAAATAATGCTGGAACCAATCCTATTTAAAACTTTTGGGGTATTTCGTTTATTTTCTTAAGGTAGATTCTCAGAGGTAGAATTACTAGGTCAAAGGCTGTCAACAAATTGCTTTCCAAAAAGCGGTCTACAGTTTCCACTCCCACTGGCCGAGCGTGCAAGCGCCCGCTTTCGCACACCCCGTGGGCATGGAGCACGGTGAGGGGCCGGCCGTGAAGCTCCAAGCACAGGCCCTCAGCCCTCAGGTAGGGTGTGGACTTGAACAATTTCCCGAAGTGGCGAATATGCCGACAGTACAGAAACTGCCTCATTTCGAGTGTGATTGTCCTGGGTCGTCCCAGGCTGAATCACTCTTGGCCTTGTCCCCTTCTATGGATGGGCCTGCGTGTGTTCAAGGGAAAGGGAATCTCAGCACCTCTTCCTGCAAACTCGCAATGATTTATGCCCCCGTGCACCAAATGAAAACAGTGCCACTGCTTTAAATGTGGTCAGCCCTGAACACCAGGAGGCCACTGACCTGTGAGTTGGCTCAGGACAAAGTCCAATAGAAAAGCTTCTTGTTGGGTGGAGACAATCTGGGAAGGTACGAATACCCACAGAGAAGGAAGGTCTCCAGAGCTGCTCTGACTTGGAATGACAATGAGTGGCGACTGATGCATCAGGGACCCTGAGACCCAGGGTGAGAGAGACCCTGGTGTTTCCTCTGGTGACGTCCAGGGACCTCTTTTTTTCTTGCAGCTTTGCAATAAGCCCCTGTCACTATCACACATTTCCCAAAGGGATCTGGCCATGGAACAGTTTTTGTGTTTGTAGCAAAGTGAGAGCACGCGAGTTACAAATACAAGCTCCATCACGTGAACATTCGTGTAAATTCCACTCTTGCAGGCAGATTGTTAGATAACACCATGAAAATGGACTCTGTAGTTTTCCTACATAATACATCTTGAAAGGACAAGAAAGAAAAGCACCGGCTCACTTTCTTTGTTCGTTTTATGAAACTACCACCAGTACCTCACGTAGCCGAACGCAGTTCAGAGTTCAAAACTCTGAACTGAAGTAATCAGGCCACGTCTTTTCCGTCGTGGCCTGAAAGAACTCACTTCTGATCCGATCTTATAGGCAAAACAACACACAAAGAAGCCCTGTCACCTGACTGTGTTAATTTGCATGTCTCTGCCTGAGCCTGTGGTTAAATATTTATTAGCTTTCCCTTGTGGAACACATCAACTCCTGCTCTTCGCTAGACTATGTCCCCAGGAGACCGGTGCCTAAAAGGACTAGCAATGCAACATGCACTATGAGATCTCGACCGGATCACAGATCAGCCCCTCTGTCCCCCCAGCTCTGGTCCAAGACCTCTGCTGGCCCCACAGTCATGATGCCACTTGGGAGTGATTGGCAGTGCAGTCAACGAACTTTCAGAACTAACAGGCTTGTAGTCTCACAGAACAGCAACCACGGCAGGATGTTCTATGAATTACATCACCCACTACTTGTTTTCAACACCTTCCGCTCAAGATAATTTTGCTCCCAGGGACTCTGTCGTTAACTATCTCAGGTTTGAGTCTCACCGTAAAGCCATCCTTGGTGGCCACACACCGAAGATAGTTTTATACCTTTAAAATTGTAATTGATAGTGTTCGCCGTCTGGACTTATTCTTCAATTACCCAAAGGTATTTTTGCCAAGTTGTACTTTATGTTCCCAAGACGGATGGTGACCCATTGTGTTTGGTTTTTGTGAATAATGTACAAAGATTACGATCTTTACGTAACAGTTAATGTTAACAGTCCCTGAAGTTGAACTAAACCACTTTCCAACCTTAAGAGCACATATAGGATCTAAAATAAAAACATTTGCTTCCTGCATCAAGAACCAAGTGTTTCCAGTAGTCTTATGGGGGGCGGGGGGGGCAGTGTGCTAAAATCCTTCTCGAGGGCATCATGTCTATAGGCTTCTCTCTGTTTGTTAATAATGCAACCTTGCTGGCAGGAAGCACTCGAGAAGTATACATTCTCTTTCTTATTTCTTGTACTTTACCCATCAAACCAAATCTATGCGCATTGGATCCTTCGTACTTTTGCGGTTTGCAAGCTTTTACTTCTGTATTTTAGAATGGAGCCAGTGCCATGAATGACTTAGGAAAGGTGAATCTCACGTGAGCTGCAAGTTGTATCTTCTTGACAAAAATCGCTGCTATCTGACTTTCCTGGCTAGTGAAAGTATACCTAAGAGGCACGAGGATAAAATTTGATCTACTAAAATATCCCACATATTGCAATACGGTGATCCCCGATTTGACTATCTGTTCCTGGTTAAAGGGTAGGAGGGTACAGTGTACTCCTGGTTTCCGTTCTAACACAGGAAAGAACTGTTGTGCACAGGAACTGCACACACTTCCCCACTCTGATTATCTCCACCTGCCCGCCTCCTGCACACCCACACTCCACGGGGGGCGTCCAACCAGACAGGGTGAGCCAGGAGATCTGGTCCCCCAGACTCTGCCTCTCTGTCCCTCATCTCCCTAGTCTTACATCACTCCCCACCCCCAAAATCACCCCACGTTCCAGGATTTTTTGGCTTTGTTCAAGCCTTTGAAGATTAGATTAACAACATGAGGTTGCACTCCTACAACTCAGTAGCAAAAATAATAATAATAATAAGTTAACCAATTAGAAAATAGGCAAAGGTGGGGCGCCTGGGTGGCTCAGTTTGTTGAGCGTCCAACTCCTGGTTTCGGCTCAGGTCATGATCTCATGATTCGTGAGTCTGAGCTCCTCATCGTGCTCTGTACTGACAGCGCGGAGCCTGCTTGGGATTCTCTCTCTCTCTCTCTCTCTCTCTCTCTCTCTCTCTCTCTCCCTTCCTCTCCATCCCCCACTCGCATGCACACACTCTCTCTCTCCAAATAAATAAATACAATTTTTAAAAAATAGGCAAAGGACTTGAATAGACATTTCTCCCAAAAAAGACATACAAATGACCAATAAGTTTATAGAAAGGGAAATGCAAATCAAAACCACAGTGATATATCACCTCACACCTCTTAGGATAGTTATTGTCAGAGACAACAAGTGCTGGCAAGGATACGGAGGAGACAACCCTGCGCGCTGTTGGTAGGAATGTAAACTGTTGCAGCCCCTATGGAAACAATATACAAGTTCCTCAAGAGATTAAAAAAAAAAAAATAGAACTACCATTTGATCCAGTAACCCCCCTTCCGGCTATAGATTCAAAGGAATTGAAATCTGGATCTTGAAGAGGTGTCTGCACTGCCATGTTCATTGCAACACCGTTCACAATAGTCAAGATAAAGAAACAACCTAAATGTCCACCGAGGGGCTAACGGGAAAAGAAAATGTGGTATATGCACACAGTAAAATATTATTCAGCCTTAAAAAAAAAAAAAAAAAAAGGAAATTCTGCCATTTGCAACATGGATGGATGTGGAGGACATTACGCTAAGTGAAATAAGCCAGACACAGAAAGACCAATACTGCATGGCCTCACTTGTATGTGGGATCTAAAACAGCCAGACTCGTAGACGCATAGGGTGGAATTTCTGCTACCAGGGGCTGCCAGGGGCCGGGGGTGAGGAAACGGGGAGGTGTTGGTCAAAGGGCACAAAGTTTCAGTTACGGGATGAGATGAATAAGTTCTGGGGATCTCTAACGGTACAACAGAAAGTCTATGAGTAACAGTGCTGTTATTGTACGTTTAAAAATTTGCTAAGACAGTAGATCTTGTGTTACACGCTCTTAACACAAAAGGAAAAACAAAGCAACAAATAAAAGAACATGAGTTGCCATTATTTCACTGTTTGAGGCCAGGGGCACGACGTGTTGTCACATAAATTATCATAGAACCAAAATAACTTAAGAAAGCAGAACAATAGCCATTTTTGTTAAACGCGTAATGTATACAGCCCACATAAACGGCGCTGCCCTCACAGACCTCCACTGTTCTTTGTCAGTGACTGTCATTTTCATGACATTGATATGAGAAAGGCCCGGGAAAATTCTCAAGGCTGGTAAGAATATTTGTAGTCTGGTGGGGTGTTGATTCAACCCTGTTAGATAAAGCCACAAGAGTAGTAAGACCTGAAACTCTACCAAAGGCCATGTGGAAAAGCTTTAGTCTAACGCATTTGTCAAGACAGAGATTCAACTGAATAGACCGTGCTTAAATATTAGGAGGTAATTACATCACACCTAAATGTAATTAGAGATGAGCTTTTTTTAACTAACTTTGAAGCACGGAATCCTAGGCTTGGAAAGAACTTTAGAAACCAGAAAATCTAACCTCCTTCCAGCTACAAGAATCCTTCCTCAGCAGTGAAGACAGACACATTCATGTGGCCTTTAAATACTTTATGAGAGAAAAGAAGCCTTGTTTTGTGGGATGACCCTTTCTGGATGGGGGATAGGTCTATTAGAAAGCTCTTTTTTTTCCACTATTTATTTTTTTTAATATTTATTTATTTTTGAAAAAGAGAGACAGAGTGAAAGTGGGGGAGGGGCAGAGAGAGAGAGGGAGACACAGAATCTGAAGCAGGCTCCAGGCTCCTGAGCTGTCAGCACAGAGCCCGACGCAGGGCTCGAACTCACAAGCTGTGAGATCATGACCTGAGCCAAAGTCGGAAGTTTAACTGACTGAGCCAGCCAGATGCCCCTAGAAAGTTCTTTCTGGTGGCAAGTCGAAATCTGCCCTACTGAGATGTCCACCCATCAGCCGGGGGCTGTTTGGAATATTAGGAACATTATCGGTTACCGAGCCAGACAGAGCTGGGTTTGATTCCAGGACCCACCATTTACTAAGTAAGCAGCTTTGTCCTGAGTCTATTTCCTGGCATATAAAACACTGTGATTCCTCTCCTGCATGTTAGTTGAGGACTGGAGATACTGTGCCTTAAGCAGATGGTGGCTCAGTAGACGGTGACTGGGGATAAACTTGCCCTGGGGATACCTTCCCTTTGCTCGGCTAAAATGCACAATCCTCTCAGCGATTCCTCAGGTCACGGTTGCCAGTGTTGCCTCCTGGCAGCTCTCCATGGTTCATTAAGGAAAGAATTCCTCCACATACATTCTGCCCATGAGCTCCTTCAGAGAGCATCACTTGAAAGAGAGCAGATAACGAATACCTATCTGTTGAATAGATTAACTCTAGAACACTCGGGGCAATCACCAAGGATAAAACGCACAGGCGCTCCGTCTGCTCTGCCACCCAGACGCCGAGCAACAAGTCAGACCTGCACGTCCTGCTCCAACTTGATCTTGATCGTGTTGTACTCTTCACAGTCCCACACCCGCTGCTTGTTCAGCTGCTTCTCATAGTCCTCTACCTTCTTGATGCGGCTTAGAAGATACTCCAGCTGAAGGCACAGGAAGACAAGGGAAAAGTCAGCCCTGTCCCTGCCCCGACTCAGGGGGCCTGACAAGCATGACACAGGGAAGGGTCTCAAAGTGTCATGGCCCTAGAGAGAGCTGGTCGGCCCTCAGAAGCTCCTGTGCCCCCAAGACTTTGTATTGTTTCACTTAATCTGGAGCTTCCTTACTTGAGAAACTCCAAGAGGAATGTTCCTTAAGAAATCAGACACGGGGGCGCCTGGGTGGCTCAGTCGGGTAAGTGTCCGACTTCGGCTCAGGTCATGATCTTGCAATTTGTGAATTTGAGCCCCAGGTCGGACTCTGTGCTGATAGCTCGGAGCTTGCAGCCTGTTTCACAGTGTGTGTGTGAGTCTCTCTCTGCCCCTCCCTCTCTCTCTCTCTCTCTCTCTCTCAAAAATAAACAAACATTGGGGCGCCTGGGTGGCGCAGTCGGTTAAGCGTCCGACTTCAGCCAGGTCACGATCTCGAGGTCCGTGAGTTCGAGCCCCGCGTCAGGCTCTGGGCTGATGGCTCAGAGCCTGGAGCCTGTTTCCCATTCTGTGTCTCCCTCTCTCTCTGCCCCTCCCCCATTCATGCTCTGTCTCTCTCTATCCCAAAAATAAATAAACGTTGAAAAAAAAAATAAACAAACATTAAAATTTTTTAAAAAAATAGAAATCAGACACCGACGCTGCGGTCAGACGTTTGTATTTCTCAAAAAGGACCCACTTGATCCGGGTCAAGCTATTTCTTTGTTCTTTGTGCCTCCCAAGTAAAGTGATAACCCCACACCCTTTGAAACATCTTAAAACATCTTGCTGGGCCACAAACATCCATGGCTGGAGTAGATGCCCAGTTTGAAAAGAAGAGAGACACAGGACCATGGTATTCACCACCACCAGAGACAAATGTCACCACCAGAAGCAGCCACCATCCGCAGGGCCACACTGATTAACCATGAAGGGCAGTGGTAAGTGTCTGCCATGGCAATCCTCCCCAAGACACAGAAAGGCTAGCAAATTCAGTCCCAGTAGAAATTGTCCCAGCCCCATGGGTCGCCCTTGATGCGTCCGCCAGCCCCTCCCCTCCCCGCCGCCCCTTTACCTCTTTGGCGTTGTGAGCCTGCAGGGCCCGCTCCCATTTCTTCTTATTACTGGTCAGCAGTTCTCGTCGTTCCGCCTCAAATGCTTTCTATGACCAAGAAGGAAGAGGGCCTGGTGTCTGTTTTGATTAGGCAGGTCCCACAGCATTAAACAACTCATAAGTAATGGCACAGTCAGAGCCAAATGCAGACTTGCCAAGTCTCGCGGAACCAAATGGCTATGGAAGGAGTTGCGTGTTAATTAGTGTTATCAAGTCTGGGCTTCACACAAATTTTGGGAGGAAATGTACCACCTGTCCTGTGGCTCAGTCGGTCTCTGAGGAAGGAGCTGGAGGAAGGGCCGTGTGCCCTTGGTGGCAGTCACAGGGCAAAGCCTGGCATACAACTCAGTCATGCCCAGGGCCGCTGCATTGCTATGGCTGGGGTTCCCACGAAAACAAAGGAGCATGCTGCTCACAAGGGGTAGGCCCGGGAATGCAGAAATGGGTCTATAATAATCCAAGGAGAGAAGTCTCCACCCTCTTGGCTCCCTTCCATTTTGGAAGGCCGGTCTCAATCTCAATCCTTAACATTTCATTCAAATTCCAAGTATTGATTTCTGAACCTGGGTGACCCCCCGCTTTCCCACGCCCCGGCCCTGGCTGCCATAAATACAGCAAACAGCTCACATACGCCCCTCCTCCACTCTTCTTACCCTCATATGGTTTTATTTTCTTTCAAAGCACTAATCTTCACCTGTCCAAGGATATATGTAGCGGTTTATCTGTTTGTGGCCTAGCTGTCTTCTACTAGCATACAGATTCCCTCGAGGACTTTGTTTTGTTCATGGCTGTATCCCCAGCCCCTGGTACAGTGCCTGGCATAGTAGCCACTCACTTGTTGGGCGAGTGAATGAATGGGTAAACAAGTTAAGGGGCAGAAAGCAGAGGACAAGACAACCGGGCCCCTCCCAGATGTCCCGGACATCCCGGACAGACCCAGCTCTCCTCCCAGAAGGCAGTTCGTTCACACCCCGTCACCTCAATGGAATTGAGCTCCTGACGGAAGGTTTTCATCACATTCTTCACTTGCTCTTCCATCCTCTCCAGGAGCAGGCAGATGTCATCTGACTGCTTCTTCAAATCCTTCACATACTGGTCATCTTTTGCTTTTAACTCCTAGAAAAGAGCATGTCAAAGGTTGGTCGCAAAGTGAGACAAAAGCAAGAGGTGCCAAGCACGCTCCACCTGGACCTCGCTCATCAATACTCGAGAACACTAGGAATCGTAACTGTACAAAGCAAAAGTGGCTTCAGAAGAATCTGAGGACACCTGGGAGAAGGCACAGGCAGATGGAGCAGAGTGGCCTCAGCACGGGGCAAAGCCCGAATGAGCAGCACGGGATCAAACCATCCGTGACCACTTGCTGCAAATCTCCCTGTAAGCTCCCAGAGAGCTAAGGCATCCCAGCTGAGCCATTAACACCCAGGTTCCAGCACGGGAGCACAGCTCCTGCAGACTAAGCTCCATTCCTTAACTGAGAAGACGAAACCTGAAACAGCATTCGCTGTGAACGTACGTCTTTCAAAGGTCACCAGTGATTCTCAAATTGCTAAAAAGCTTTTCCCTCCGGGTGAGTTTGTTGCCCGAGGTGTGCGATAATCTGAGTAGTGAAGTAAGACCTCCACATTTTTCCATTCAGGAAGAGCAAACCAATAAGGCAGTCAATTCCCCCCATCAGAGCCCACGTGGCTGGTGGCGAGGGGCCCCGGACCCTTGCCTGCTGTAACTCGCTGATAAGCTTGTTCTTGTCTTCTATCAGCCGAGCGCAGTGCACCTGCTGGGTGTTGAGCATGTCCCACAGGTCCTGGGGAATTCTCTTCCGTTTGCCCTCCTCCCACTTCATGGTGATTTCATCAAATTTGTCCTGGCTGGTCTTGACTTCGTTCTCCAGCTTTTCAAGTCTGCGAATACAAACATGCTCGCCACGCCAGCCCACCTGTGGCCCTACCTCCGGCTAGGGCAGGTGGGTTCTCGAGAGTCTGTAATACGAGATCCAGGTACCAAGCACTGCCTCCAGATACCCTCACCCACAATCAAACCAGGCTGTCAGTAATCTTCAAGTTTAACGCTTGACTATCAGTAAGAGATCAAATAAACAAAGGAGCACATTACAAAAACAGATCAACCTTAAAGCTATACCTACTTACACACACACGTGCACACACACACACACACACACACATATGCAGATCAAGAGTCACTTTGCCACATCCCTCTGTGACACACACACTTGATCTCTGGAGTTGTACAGCTTGTGTTTAAGGCCTGACTTTGCTACTGAGTGGCTCTCAACTTTAGACAAGTCACTTAACCTCTGCAAGCTGCATTTTTCTCACCTGTGAAATGGAGAGGATGAAAAAAATCTACTTTCACACGGCTGCTGTGGCATTAAGTGAGGTGATGCTCAGCACAGGTGCTCAGCACGACAGTCCCCACATTATTATTTTTGATTATCAACATGACCTCAAGTGTCTGGCCATTCCTCTCCCAAATTAAAAAAAAAAAATTTAATGTTTATTTTTGAGAGACAGAGAGAGAGAGAGACAGAGTGCAAGCGGGGCGGGGCAGAGAGAGAGGCAGACACAGAATCCAAAGCAGGCTCTGAGCTGTCAGCACAGAGCCTGAACTCGCAAACCGTGAGATCATGACCTGAGCCGAAGTCCGACACTTAACTGACTGAGTCACTCCGGTGCCCCTCCTCTCCCAAATTATTAAGAAATGAATAGCGGGACACACAAACAGGGAAACTCCACAATTAGCAATGGAGAATAGGGATGGCCTTTCCAGAAATTCCAAAGAGACTCTGTGATGGAGTATTCTGAGGATGGGACCAGACCGAAAGAAGAAGGCATGAAGGCTGAGATATGAGACCCCTCCTGAGCACAGGCGCTAGGACAGACGCAGAGACTCTCTGTCTACCTTACCCACACAGTGAGCCTATGAGACTGCCTCCAAACAACAGTTCAAACCCCTGAGGGACAGGAATCACCACTGAACCATTTCGTGCTCCCCTTTCTCCTTCCCTCCGAGCTAGAGCACAGAGAGCATGTTACATTGCACTTGACTTTTTTCCTCAGAAAATGAAAAAGAGCCGGGTCATCTTCCAAAATACCCACACTGATCCTGTAACTCTGCCACTTAAGACCTTCAGTTTTTCTGGGGCGCCTCAGTCTGTTAAGCGTCTGACTTCAGCTCAGGTCATGATCTCGCGG